ATATTATTATGGTATTCAAAAACTCACTTGGATAGAAGCCTAATGATATATTCAAATTTTTGTTCCATTTTGATTTATTACAGAGTTTAACAAGAGGATCTGCATAACTTTATGGGGTATTCGATATAAGTTGATTAACAAATCTAATACTAATTAATGTCATAATGTAAATCCATATATGTGGATTTTTTATGGTGCCCCCTTTTTTTCTCTAAGAAAGGAAACGGTGTAACAAAATATTTCTTCGTTAGTTTTTTAGTATTAGTATTATGAACTTTCAATTGCTAAGGCTTCTGGAAAATCGTTACATTTATAAAATTATTAGAGGATTTTGATCAGGATACATTTGTAGAACAGTGCTATGGAGAGAGAATCTTTATTTCATACAATTTTTTCGGAAGTTGCAATAGATAGAAGTATTACAATAAAGAAAGAAATTTTCTGTATTTCGAATGAGTTTTTTACACCACTGGTATTTTTAATCCATTAAATCTTTCCATAGCTCTAAAGTATAATGTATATACTGCCTTTCATGGAAATTTAATGCCTATATCTTTGAAAACGGAGGAGGAGTAGTGTTTTGAAAACAATGTTCTTTACGTAAATTTCGGAAATTCTGTAAGTGATATGCAGATCACAAAAAAAAATCACATATAACCAATATATGACATTAATTAGTTTTGATTTTCTTAGAATGTCGCACACCCCACAGCATTATGTTGAAATTTTTGCAATTCTGAACCCTACGTAGATTTATACAAGATTTATTTTCCTGATGTTGGCCTACAAATTCTTGATATCAGTATGAGTCAATTTATGCCGAATAGAAAATATTCAACAGGTAGAATATCTTTAAGAGAGATAAAGATTAGGAAAGTCCTGGAACAAATGCGAATATTAGATTCCCCAAAACTTGTTGCAATGTTTATTGTATGGATTGATTGATTACATGTTTCTACTAGTTTTGATACATTTCAAAGAAGAAACAATCCATCCATTCTAAGTTGGTCATTAAAAGGAGACATAACATTCTGGAAGAAAGCATGCCAACTGAAGATGATCAATTTTACTGAAGAGTACATAATTTGCCAACTGGTATGAGTGATGATAATGGTGATGCAAGAAATTTGCTATTGTGGGATTGTGTCTGAGTCACAAATGAATTTCCCAACAATATATGATGATACTTGATATAAATTTACTATAACTGTCAATTTACAGTTACAGTTTATTTCCTTGTTATTCTACATTTGGGAATTTGTCTTCTGAGTTAACTTTGCCATGATTGGGAATTTGCCCCTCACTATATATAAAGAAAAGGAAAATAAAAAGATAAGAAATTATTCACACAGAATTAATATGAAGACTAATCCTTTATTTCAGCACTGTCTTGTGAATACATGTATATTTATGGTCAAATCTTGATAAATCAAAGTGATTGGGACTATTAGTAGAAAACTTGAAAAATTCAGTTTATCAAGGTTTGTTTATTATTAGTAAATTCAGTTTATTGGAGAACCATTTTATTAAGATTTTAATTATTGCTTCAGCTTAATGGGGTTTGGTTGACTTTGTACATGAAGAGAAAAATCAAAAGTGAAGGAAATTCTAAGCTATTTAAATGTTTCAAAAGTTCACTGAGTCATGATGAGGAATTCCTTTGTAACATTCTTTAAAGCATTCTTTAGAAGGTCATCTGAGAATTATCATCTTTATAACTAATTAAAGGAATTTTTAATTTGTTCACATTAATAATTTCTCTCTGATTGTCAGGTTGGAATTGATTTTAAATTTGAGCTATCATAAAAAAAAATAATGTTAAATTCTAAACCAGCAAAATATACTACATCATATTATTTTCCACATGCTTCTACTATTATACTTAGGGATGGGAAACTGCAAGAAATTTCAAAATTTCATGCAGTGCATTTTTTTTTTTTACTCGACATTATATTTGGCATTACTACTTTTAACATTTTTAATGCATTATTTATTCATTATTAAAAATATATTATGAAAATTAAATGTTTACTTATATTTGAGGTTTTCAATTTATTATTAAAATATATATATACTAATTTAAAAACACAATCATTTGTCAATTTATTTCGTTTTTTATCATGTATATAAGAAATGTAGACCAATTCCTTCCTGCTGCTGCTGCTGATGATGATGATGATGATGATGAGGTAGGAATAGAAAGAACTCTTACCACAACTTTTGTCAATTCAGGTGCCACAGCTCCAAAATTACCTTTCCACCAGGTTAATAAATCCACATTATTGGTAGATACCCCCATGAGTTGCCAAATACACCACTATAAGCTTTATATTGTAAAATTTAATTTCTGCATTTTCTGTATGTGACATTGCATGATTTGAAAAAAAATCATGTGCATGGAACATCTCTAATTATACTCTTTCTTCACTTTACTTGGTTACAATTCTATTAATAATATTGGTTTTTTGGTGCAACATAAATATTTAAATCTCTGATGATTGTTTATTAGAGTATCTCAATCTATGCCTTAGAATGATTTTTTAGTCTTCAAAAGCAAAGTAAAATGTTTGTTCAATCACTCATCCCCAGGAAAACTCTATTACTATTGCCAACACTACGTTTCAAAAAAAAATTTCACCATAGAATAGTCCACCAATCAATAATAATCTACTGTGATTTACCCATTACCAAAATTACTGTTGAAGTAGCTAATCTTCCATCTCGTGTATATATAATGAAATATAATCAATAAACATTCGTTTATGCACTTTAAATGTTGATCAATTGAATTGTGAATATACAGTGAACCCTTGTTTCAACGAAGTATAATTAAATTTTTGATACAACGAATTTTTAAAAACGTTGTTACACGTTATGAAAACATATAAAAATTCGTTGAAACGCGATTAGTAACCTTGTTTCAACGAATGTTGAATAAAAATTTCTTATATGTCCAGCCACTTCGTTGAAACAAGGGCAGACTGTATATGGAAACAGGAGACCGTTCTGGTAACACGAACCCATGCAATTGTTGATTGGCCAATCAAAATCATGAATTTGGTAACGTAAAAATAAATGTTGGTTTGTCAACAATATCACTTCACCAACAATTGTTTGTTAACAAAATGGTTCGAATTTAAGAAGTTGGAAGCAACCATGCGACAAACCTTTGAAATATTCTAATAAATTAAATTGTACTACTCTAAAATGGATTTAAAGGGTTGGTTTTAGACTTGGTTGAAAGAATAACTCTCTTCCTAACTCTTGGCCATTTCTCTTGATATAATCAAAATAACCTTAATATAATGAATGTCGGCGAAATGATTGTAAACACAATCAATTTAAGATATACAATTAAGACAAAAACATGAACAATGTATGAAAAAATCAAACAAATTTATTTAATAAAAACAAAATTTACAATCCAAAAAATTTTTTTTACATGTTCTAATAAAATTTCCATTGTTGCCGCATCATCAGTTGCTGATTTAACATTACCCGGATCATCATCAACTGTATTTTTGTTATTTTCGATAAATTCATTTTCATTCAATATTTTCATCATACTTTCTTTTAGTGTGTTGACATTTTTTTTGATTTCGACTTGAGATATCAAACATTTAGATTGCCACCTTTATAGACGATGATTGTGATAACATGAGTACGCTACAATTATTCAAATTAGTATAGTTAGTGTAATCACAATATACGTAATTGCAAAAATGTTTGTAGATGGTTTCCTAGAAGTAACAAAAGTTTTATTAATTAAAGGATGCTGATTTTGTGCTTGATATACTGGTAGTATCATATTGTCTCTGGACGTGAATCTATGATAATCGTCAACATTCAACAAGAATGTAACTTGCTTCTTTTTACGATCTACTGCTCTTGATGTTGTGGTTGCTCCAAGACTTGTATCTACCGAGTCTAAATAGAATGCAAGGTCGAACTTAAAAGAGTTAATTTTTGTATTAGTATTATTTAATAAAACAAGCAAGATAACACATGAACACCACCATTAATCTCTTCATATGGTCCATTGTTCATTACGTTCAAATGGCCGAGCTGCTAAATAGAGTTGGTCAAAAAACTCCTTTAAGCTTGGTTCTATTTCTTGGAGCAATATTCGTAATTTATCAAAATCGTATATAGGACCTTCTTTATTTGAACATTCTCTTTCATAAAAGATTTTTGGCCATCATCTTGATGGCTCTAGTGAAATCAATCTTTTCATTTACTTCTTCCTCTTCCCTTTTCGCATCTGTGGTTTTTACTCTCTTAGGTTCTCTTTTTAAAGGATTTTCTACAAAATTCATATAACAAATGTTATATAAAACAACACGTTACTTTCACTAAGTTTCTGTTCTCAGCTTCTTTCCATTTATTTATTGCCTTTCAGTTGACGAAACAATTTAGCTGATTCAGTGGTTTTACATTCCGTGCAACGCTTGATTTCAGGCATTTTTTCTTCGAGTAAATCGTATTATGAAAGCTATAGGATTCAAAGGGATTCAAAAGATATGTATGATAACTTCAAGTTTGTGTAATTATTTACACATGATTTATTGCAAGAATGGGCTACGTGATACCCTTGTAAAAGTATTTTAAACTGTATAAAAAAAATTGAAATCAATTGTGAAAATCATTTCCTTATGCAGGACGGTCTCTCCTGTTATGGATAGGCGCCTTTCAATAGGAACGTCCTCCAGGTCCAGGTATAATATACATGTCAGAATTGAGTAAAGTATATACATGTTTATATGTAAATTCTCACGGGAGGTTATTATTAACTTAGAAAACATGCTCGCAATAATGACAAAAACAATATGTAAATTATTTTGAAATGTGAGCATTTTTCTCATATATGTTGATGCAAATCAAATATTACAAAGGGATATTTGATTATTATTATGCGAAATACGTCATAAAATTGATGAACATAAACAACCAAATTAAATTATTTTTAAAAAATTATATATTTAAAACAAATAAATTAACTAATGAACGAAAGAACAGAGATTGAAAATTCTTGCAAAGAACTTTCTGATTGTACCGTAAATAAGAATAACTGTGGATTCAAGTTTTCATTTGATCCTTTGGCAACAACAAGACCAACATTAGTTTCATACCCAGTAATGAACACCACTACAAGTTTACACTTTAACTCACAAGATGAACTTGGAAAACTTTTTACACTCCAAGTAAACAACAACAATAACAGCGGCGGCGGCAGCAACAGCAACAACAATAATAACAACAACAACAATAATAGTGGTGGTGCTGGTATGATTTTTGAGGATGCTACTACTTTATCTACTATAAATGGTGATCAAACATCATTAACTTCAACACAATTGTCTACACAACCTTTCCTTAATAAAATAACTAGACCTATACCACCCTCATTGAATACTATTAATATTAATCAACTAATGTTGGCAAATAGAGGCGGAGGCGATGGCGGTAGTAGTAATAGTAATGTTAATACCAATTGCGGTAATAATTTTTGCAATTCTTCAAATCAACAGCAGGTTGACAATCTAGATGAACCAGTGTTAGTATCAGGACATTCCCGAAGAGATAGCAATGGTTCATCAATGTCTATTCAATTACATGATGTTATTGGATCAGGCCATCATCGTAGAGATAGTAACGTGTCTAATGCCTCAATGCAGCTTGATATACCAACCCCATCCAGTGAAATTGAATCTGGTAATGAAGATGAATCGAAATTTTCTTTTTTCCCATTTACTTTACCACAAAAATCATTATCATTATCATCATCATCATTGTCATTATCGAGACCTAGCACTCCTACGAAATCTTCAACACCTCCACCTTACACTTCCACAAGATCAAAAAATTCATCTGCATATAAGTCAAACTCTTATCATCGTCATAATAATCATAATCATATGAGAAGGATGAGTTTGGATTCAGGTACTGATAGTGGTGGTGGTAATGGTGGTGGTGGAGTACATGTTTTAAGCGATCAGAAAAATGATAAGCTATCACCAATCCAACGTGTTGTTCGCGCTAGAAGAGCATCTCTTTTGGTATAGATGTTCTTTCTTGTTATCATTTAATAATATATCTTTTTTTTCTCCTGCATATTTGCATAATCAATTATTTTTAAATATTATACAAAACTAGCCAAAAACCAAATCTTTTCAACGCGTTATCAATGAACTACAAGAAGAGGCACAACCATTGGATACAGAAATTAAACAAGAATATAAAGCCACTAAAATACTCAAGGATAATTCTGATGTTTTTTTAAATGATGGAAAATTACCCGAGGTTTATTATTATTGTCATTATTAAAAAGTGTGACATTAAAACTTTAAAAGATGATAAATAATAATAAATGTCTTATATACTAGGAATTCTTATTGAACTGGATTAAATTCCGAGATATTCAACCATCTCCACCATCTTACACATCATCAAAATTAAATCCTGATATAGATATGCTGGTATGTTCTTTTATACGTATGATTATTACATGGGAAATGTATGTTAATGTTTTTTTTTAAAAAAAAAAGTCTCGACAAGATGCACCTTCACCAACATCTTCAGTTGGATCAGTGTCTTTTAATGGTCGCATAAAGCGAAAAGGTAAAATAATATGATTACTTTTTTTTTTATTGGAATTTTCTATTATTTACAAAAATTGTGAATTTATTTTTGTTACTTAGCTTCAGATGATAGATTTGAACCTTATTTTAACCCTAAGCGTCGTGCAGTCTCACCAAGTTTAGTTGGCAGTCCACCAGTTGTAACAAGTGTTTTATCACTATCTAATAGTAATGGTAATAATGATAATGATGATGTTGGTTCATAATTGATTTTGGATTGAATCATCAACACGAGAATATTTATTAAAAAAATTATATATTTGGAAGAGATTTATATTTGTATGTAATGTGTGTGTGTATGTAAATATATATATATATATATAGTGTTTTAATAAATATGTAAATTCAAACTTTTATATTGAGATAGTGAATAGACAAAACTAGAATGGACAATAATTTACAGCAAATCACACGCAAGGGACTAGGCCTAACTTATTCTTTGTAGTCAATGAATAACCTAGATAAGCAAAGTAGAGCTATTATTGGACTCCAAATCAACATCTTCTTTCTGATGATCTATTTGGTTAAATGGCATAAGCACCTGCCCAGCAGCAGAACTCAAAGACAAATCTTTCTTGTATTCTGGGCTATGTTACATTTGATGTTACAAATATGAATAATAAATTGAATATTTACTAGACATATGTCCTTTCATGCTCAAATTGTTGATGTTCTATTCTTTACATAATGGACAGATTATACTTGTCTGAACTCGTCAACTAAATGTACTCAACGTCTTTTCTTCAACTCCTATACAAATCCTTCATTCGTGACTTCGTGAAAACTCTTCATTATAACTATTGTTCTAGCGCTCACCCATAATTCTATTGCAAATGATGTGATAAGTTTTTGTTTCGAAATCCGAAGCCTTCACTATTGTCTTGTGCTATAAAAATTCAAGTAGAATTTTCATGTATTGAAGAATGTAATTTTGATATGTATTAATACACGAACATGAAGAAGTTGGAATAAATATCTATATTGGATTAAAGAAATATATTAAAGATATAAATTATTATTAATAAATTACTGAATCTGGAGGATCAAAGTTTTGTGAAAACAATGAATACAACCTTCTAATAAAAATCAAAACATCTCTATTAATAGTAAAAAATATAAACACTTATAGCTCCTTCTTTGAAAATTAAAATAAGGAATGTTTTTAATGAATAAATTAATAAATAATCTACATTCACTCATATAAAGTTACTTGTATTTATCGGTAAGCAGTTGTGAACATTGGCAATTGCTTTGTAATCCTTTTTTGTTGGACGTTTGAAATAACAACTACTTGTAGCTTTCTATACTTACTTGCTACTCAGAATATCTTGAATCAGTTAAACTATATTGTCAGATATAAATTGTCATTCATAATTGTCATCATTATGTAGTAATTGTTTTTTTTTTTCAAACTCCTATATTGTTGATGAGGATAAAAAGATGTTTCGAAGAATTGTTTTAATTTTAATTTTTATCCCTCCTCAATGTTATAATATTTGCCACCCCTAGCATTACGTCAATTGTGTTAATTCAGTATTACACATGCGCTGATTTTGTTTGAACCCCAAAATCCAGTGCGGTATGATCATAACGTTATAAATACTTTATACTAGCAAAAACCCATTGGTTTTGAGGTGTGGCCATTGGTTTGACGGGTTTATGGATAGTAAATTAGTTTTTTTAGCGGAGCAAATAATTTTTTTTAGGGTAATTATCATTCTACCGACCAGTTTACACATTAAAAATACTCGTGTTTAACATCGAGACACAATAAGACATAAGGTTTGAAAAAAGGTCCAAAAAACCAAATCGGCTGATATGATTTTCATATATATATTATATAAGCTATCCAAGAATTATCTAATTGCTGTTAATACCTTTTTTTCTAAATTTGATAAAATCGACCGATCGTTTTAATTTGGCTAAAATTTATAACACGGAAGCAAAAATTGCTAGCTAAAGATCTAGTGAGCGCCCTCGTTGTTTATACATTGATATGTTTTTCTTATATATAGATAGTTGATATTAATTAAAATTTGTGGACAATAACTCGTGGGATAATAAGTGGCTTTGGTGATCACGTTAGTGTTTTTTTTCATAATCGACAAAACTTATCAGTCCTTGGGCATGTCCGAGTTATCAAAAAACAAAAAAACGCCAACTAAAATTTGTGGACAATAACTCGTGAAATAATAAGTGGCTTTGGTGATCGCGTTAATGCTTTTTTTTTCATAATCGATAACAACGAATACCTCGGACATGTCCGAGGACTGTTATCAAACAAAAAAGATTTGTGAATTAACGCCAACTAACTAATAAGTATATATTAATTTGAAGCAATTTCTAATTGATTTAATCGATAATGGCAAAGCGAATGAAAATAAAGAAGAGTGTGTTTGTTTTATTTTATAATATGTTTGCCGAAGAAGACCTAGGATAAAAAAAATCTTGAAAAAAAAGTCATATAAAAAAGATGGATGACAAACAAAATTAAAAATTTGAAGTATTACAAAAAAAATACTTGATTTCTTGATATAATATTCATAACTACATCTAAAAATCCAAAATTTTGTTTGATATCTCATACTCTGTATCTTCAAACTCTGAGTTCATCCTTTGCGATCTATAAATACACCGTTGTTGTTTAAAGGTTGACGAAAGTGTCCTTGTTGGGTAGTCAAAGGGTTTAATTCGTGCTCCGTGAGACAACTGCAAAATTTTGCCGATCGTTAGTACACAGTGAGTCTCGGTATAGCGGATAATTTGGGCAATTAGAACAAAAATTTCAAAAATCCGTTATACCGAGA